GTTTTCCCAGCCAAGATTTACCCCAAGATTTTCCGGGCCGTAAGTCACGGAAAAGGAGAGGACGGGGGGACCTGTTGAGCCGGGGGGGTTGGGGTTGTTTTCTTACGACGGCTCGTCTTCACCCCCTCGGGGGAATAAGACGTCAACTTGTTGCTCCGAGGATCCTGCCCGGGTGATGCCTCCGTTTCGCCTCGTTACGCGGCCACCCCGTCGCGGAAACGCGGCGGAACCGGAACCTCGGAACCCGGGGAAGGACCCCCCACCCAGAGGGATCGGAACCAGGTTCCTTCTTGAGCGCAAATTAAATCTGGGGACACCGCGCGGAGGCGATTACCGCGCGACTCGGGGAGCAAATTGAAAATAACGGCCACCTCTAATTGGGCTACATTCGCCCCCGTTAATAAACCCTCGACGTTTCGCGTTTCATTATTTCCCGTAATTATCCGCGGCGGAAGGGCCGCGCGCGACTCGCTCCAACGAGAAGTCACCGACCCTGGCTCCGGCGCGATCGCGCTTTTCCGGGCTCCGCTCCTCCATTTCCTTCTCTTAGTTTTATTTCCTTTCTTTTCCCGCAAGCTCTCGCAAGTAGCACGCAATTTACGACGTTTCCGCGACCTTACCCCTTAGGGCTCGACGGGGGTTTCTCCCCCGGGAGGCTCCTTCGGCCAATTTGACCGGCACTCCTCGAAGTGGACTCTTCACCTTCCTCGACGAGGTCCCTCGAAGATCGTCCACGTTCTGAAAAGCTCGGGGGGCCTCGATTGTCGGGAGTACTTTACTCGCGGGGGCGACGAGGTGGCGTCGTGCCGCTCTGAAAAGTGGCGCACGCCCCCGGGGGCATGAATGCCCCGGGGGTGTATAACTAACCCTTAAAGAGAGCGCCGAGTGTCGTGGCTATTAAGTTTCTTGAAAGGAAGGAGGAGCCGGCGCAAAGACGGGCCTCAGACCGTGGCGAGGTTAACGCCGCGTTTTTCCCTTAACGCGCCGCTACGCGGAAACCGCGTCCCTGCCCCCCTTCCCCCCCCCCCTTGAGGCGGGGGCACAATTAAAGCGACGAGGGGCGACCCGGTTGAGTTCAACGGCCGTCGAGTCGTAACGAGGTCGTCGCGAACTCCCGAAGAAGGAGCTTTTCTCCTCCCAGGACTCCCCAGACGAGGGAAAACGCCTTTCCGGAGTCCCGGGGGAAGGGGCGTCGAGGAAACGACGGGAGGCGTCGGGAAGCGGCAGGAGGCACCAAGGAGGAGGAACCACTCGAGGGCACACTTGTTGAGCCACGACTAAGATTGTCCGAGGTAAGAAGCCACTTGTTGCGCCCTCCTTCCGACGCCCGGCGTCGGCCTGACCTCGTTGCGAAAGGACGACCCTGGAAGGGCGCCCTCGTCCTTGCGACCCGTCCAGGTTACGGACGTCTTCCGGACTTGGTGGACGAGAAAAAAAAATTCATTCAACCTAAGATATATTTCTCTGAATACCGAAGAATATATTTTCAGGGAACAATTGTTTCGTTGGGAATTGACGTCGAGTTAAATTAATTGCTCGTTTAATCGAATTGTGTCCACTTGGACTGACATTTTATTGGACGCGTTTCATCTCAGAATTTTGTTATAGCAATGTGCATTTCTTTGGGCCGATCAACTTTTTTTTTTCTCAGGGTAGAAGGGGCGTCTCTCGGCGGCCGCGTGCGTAATCGAATGCGTCGCGGCTCCAGACGCAAACGCCCCCGTCGAGATAGAAGACCGATCGAACGGTTGACGAGGTATCGAGTGGCGGTTGTAGATGCGAGAGGAGTAGCTCGATGGACGGCGACGCGTCGGTCGCGTCGGTCGCGTCCCTCGCGCGAGTCGCTCTTCGTGCGACTGAAACACATCGCATGGATGGATTGGGAAGATTACAATATATCGCTGGGCTAAGTGCGATCCGAGAAATGGCTCGCTCAGGGGGTGGAAAATTTCACGCGAGATCTTCGCCTCGGGTTCGAATCGAAAACAAGGACACGCGCGAACTCGGCCGAGATATATCCGCCCCTCGGCGTCGAGTGGCGATTTCTAAGGGAGTCGGCGGGGCTGAAAGGGCGGCTTAAAAAATACAAACTCCCCGACTTGGGCCCCGTTGATTAGATTCTGCCACGTGGCCCATTGTGCGCCGCGACGCCGGGCGCGCCTGTCACGCGGCCACGTGCTAGGCGAGCACACTAATGGCGCGTCGGATATAAGACGCGAGGCTTAGGGTGAGAACCCGGGGAGCGCCCTTGCGAAAAATCGCCACGGCTTATCGATAGGTAGAAGGGATCCCACCCCGGGGGAGATTCCGGGATCGCCCTTCCGAAAATCGACGAGGAGGGAACGAAGGGGCTCCGAATCTCTGGATCGAGGAGTCTCTTCGGGAGACGAGAGGAACGAACCTCCCCGGGATCGAGGGGTAACCTTTTCCTCCTTTCTCTCGCCTTTTCGAAGATTCCCTCGGTGACTTTTTCCCGACGTCGGCGACGCGCTCGTCCGGGAATGCGGCGCGCTCGATACGTCTGGAGTTTCTGGGCGAAAATCGGGAGCGATCCCTGGGACGACCTTAAGAGGGAAGAGCGCCCCTTCCGGGCACGCCGGGCGGACAGAGAAAAAAAAAAAGAGAGGAAAAGAGAAAAAACCCGAGAGCTCGCGGCCGGCGCCCGGGTGTATCGGTGCACCGGTGCACCGGTGCGTTTGCTTTGCCGGCCGAACCTTTTACCCCCCGTCGGAAAGTCGCGGGGTGGAAAATCAATACTCGATACACATCCCAGAGGCCCGTTTATGCCGCTTATACTCGCGGCACTATCTCGCTCGGGATCCTATCCGGCGAGTCGCGGGAAGGATTAACGTCGCGCGACCGGCGACCGCGACGAGGGTCGCCGGGGCGACAGATGGCGAGCCGGACAAAGAGTCGCCGTTCCTCTAACCGAATGGCCTCCGCGAAACGCTGTCCAATTGGAACGGCGACCCCTCGGGGGTGGAAAAGCCCGAAGACGGGGCCTCGATTTGCCTCCGGCCGAGGGGCGCCCCGAAGAAGCGGAAGGGGCTCGGAAATCGAATCGTCGCGACGCCCAGCAATCTCGAACAAGTCCAACTAGTTCGAGATAACTCGGCCGGAGCTGTTCGAGGGACGTCTTCTAGTCGGTTCTCCTCCGATCACGGATGGTCCATGAAATTTACAGACCCCACGGAAGTCGCGATTCTTGGGGGTTAGGGGCGCCGTTTCCGCTGGGCCCACCGAAAGATGGTTTAACGGGATCGGATTTAAGGGACCATTAGGGTTCCAATTATCCCGATTGCGCACCAAGTCTCGAGAAGCTGATAGTATCGAACTACCCTGGTGAATTTTCATATTAAACGCGTTTTACTATTTTTGTCTAACGCAGGCGTAGACCACTCGTCGCCTGGAGGAGTCGTCGAAGGGGTTAGAATTTCCGCTCCGAGGGTGCGAGTATTCCGAGACGTTTTCCAGGCGTGTCTTCTCGTTAATCCTCTTCACGCTGGCGAAGGAGTCCGCCGGTTAAGCCGGTATCTTAAACCTGCCGCGTAAACCGGTCGACCCTGCGCGTATCCCGAGCGCGGAATAGCTAATACATCACAAACTTGGGACAAAGAGGAGGATGTCGTGGGCTGCACCGGCGAATCCGCCGGCGTCCCGACGCCCCCTCCGCGACGGGAAACTTTGCCTATTTGTTAAGTCTCGCCCGCCGAAACTGCCTGGGATCCTAACGTCGAACCGCGTTCTGGAAACCCCTCCGAGGAGTCTTCCCTCCCTTCCTTCGGGCTCGAATCCCCGGCACCCTCTCAACGGATTTCCTCGTTTATACCTCCTCTCTCCCGAGACACCCGGACGGCTCGTGATCGCATGAAAAAGAAAAGATCTCGATTACTTAACGAATTCGTTTGATCGACTGTATTCGCTTGACTTCCGGTTCCGATCCAATAAACCGGATCTTCGTTCCCTCGATCAAATTCGTTTGCATCGATCGGCCGAGAGGTTCCAATTAAAGAAATTAAAATCCGAAGGGTTAAGCCGTGTCAACCTGGTCGCCCATGTGACAACCATATTTAACCATGGTTAAACAAAAGATTAAATCGATTTAACCGAATGATTTTTTTTTTGCGCGTACCTCCGGTACTCTTCGCGTTCCTTTCCAATTCCCTCGATACCTGTTACACCTTATCGCGACATGGAAGCGATCGCGATTAATTAATCAATCCCCTCCCCCTTCCGTCCTCCCATCGCGGATGCTCCAGACTTTCGAAGTTTCGTCGCGGGCATCCCCTTCCGTGAAATATTCTCCAGGGTAACCCACCCTCTCCTGCGGTCTTAACGCGTGCTCGACGGACTTCGGGGCTACGGAATTCCGCGGCGGAATTTCCGAAAACTACCACCGGGGGGGGGCCGCGAAAGGCGGAGGGTGGAAAAGTTTGCCACACCGCGAGATCGATCCATCTTTGATGCGATAACAGAAGTCCCTTATCACGGTATCGCCGCGAAGTTGGCCGCGTGACGGGCGTGCTTCGCGTTCCTCCGTGCACGCGTGTGCGTAGGATGACATGTGGGGACACCCCCCCATCCCTCCGATGGTGAGGGGGTGGCTTCATTGTGACGAGGATATCGCCTTGGGCAACATTGGCGAATCCCGGGTGCAAATTTCGTGCACCCTTTCGCAGCCCTCGCCGTAAGGACGACGACTCCCCCTGTCCCCCATTCGCGCCCCCTCCCCCCGGGGGTTCCGCTATGCAGTTTTCGCGACGTCGCGGAAATCTCGCTACGAGCCGATACTTCCGGATTTCGCACGGTTTTTCTCATCTTTCGAGGGAAATTCCCGTTAACGCGATTATTTACGTAATTTGTTCACTGGATGTATTTACGGCTGAGAGGATATCTGAATCTGATCGATTGGATGACATATGATCGTTGCAAATGGTTTGATAAGTTTTATCAAGGAGTTTGTCGATTACAATGACGTTTGAATTTTTTTTTTTTTCCAGGGGACGGCAACTTTCGCTTCGCCACGGAAACATTCAAGGTGAGTGATAAGCAGTAATGGTAATCGCGGATCGGGAGGATTCGCGGGGTCGGATTTGAGGGGGAAGAGAGGAGGGGATGAAGATATCGCGGAAATTCGAGGCGGCACGTCTCGGAGACGTTTCCGGGGCGGGAAAGTCGCGTAGCGGGGGGCGGCCTCATACTTTTCGACCCCGGGGAAAATTGTGAAAAACGATCCGCCATTGTCTCTTCCCGGCAATTTCTCAGAGCGCTACGCCAATGCATGCATGCAAGGGTTGACAATGCAGCGTGCCAAGGGTGGAGGTGGAGGACGAGCAGTGCCAGGGGTAGTGGAAGGGTTAGGGGCTGAACGGAGGTGGAGACGCTCTAAGGTACATAATCATGCTTGCTGATTCCTTCCCTAATAAAAGTCTCACTGTCACCGAGCACCCCTCGCCGAGCACCCCCTCGCCCGCGACGTGTACACCGATGCACGTGTGACAGAGACAAAAGTGCATGCCTGCAGCGAGAGCGATGCACCCGCCGCGCGGGGATAAGACAAAGAGGGCCGAGAATTACCAGGGGGAGGGGGTATACGGGTCAGAAATGCTTCGCGATGCATCTGGAGTTGCAGTTTTTTTCAATTCGCCGATGAACCGCAAGACTCACCCCTTCTCCGGGCGTCCAATCATCCCCGCGAGCGCGCTCCTTGGATTTTATTAAACCCCCTCTCCCGTCGGAGCGTCTTCGATCGACGCGACGCGGAAACCGCCGACCGAGCCTGACCGGTGCGGTTTCCGCCCCGGAACGCCCGTGCCCCCCGATGGATGGGTCCATCGGGAGAACTGACGCTTATCGTCCCGCAGAGGAGAGCGGGGCAATCTTATCGGAATGGAACGTGTCACTTCCTTTGGCGACGTTCGAAGGGAAAGCTGCGCGGCGCGGCCGATCCGCGGCGTTTCGGTGCATCGCGGGACACGGGGAATCGCGCGTCACGGGGAGATCCATTTTTTCAGACTTTTCTTTTTACGCGATTTTCACTCGCGTAAATAAATCCACGTGGGATGGATCCGCGTGGGTCGATGAAATTTTTTTCTCGGGGTAGCAACGCACGTTTCTATTTTTTTCTTTCTTCTTCGGGGCGAGGAGACCGCGGCCAAGGGGTTCGGGCCCCGAGGGCGGTTTAAAGGGCCCACTTTCGGGCGAACAGGTCTCAAGGTGCTCCGATTCGGGGCCCGACCATCGGGCCCGCCAGATGGCTTCGGGCCCCATGGGACCCACCCACGCGGCCGTGGATCGGAGCGTGCCGGGCACATGCCGATGGGGTTTCCCATAACGGCGCAAACGGCCGAATCGCGGTATATAATAACGGGCCCCGTAATAACGGGCCCGGATGCGACTCGACGAAACGGGCCGACATATGTTGCCGTCCTGGGCCCCGTATACATCGGCGAGTCCGCTGGAGAGGTCCTGCCGGAATCGGGCCCATTCCTAGGGATTCGGGTCGAGGACGTCGAGTCCCGGGGGAGGAGGAAGAGGGTGGCGGAAAGAAAGGGAGAGGGGAAGGAGAAACACGATGTGCCGCGATATGCCGCGATCCGAACGCGACGATTTCCTCCGCTCGGCTCGCCCCGATGAGCACGGCTCGTCCGTTCCTTCCTTGGGGTTCAAGTACCTCCGGTATCCCGGGTATCCCGGGTATCCCGGGTTTTCGGCGCAACGATGTTGCAACATCGGGGAGAAAAGAGTCGCGATGCTCCCGCTCGCGTATACCATTTTCCCGCGGTTCTTTCTTCCGGCCCAGAGCGGTTTTCTATACGCGAGCCCAGGAACGGGGCGCTCTGTACTCTCTCGAGAACGGCTCTGTTGCTCTAATTTTTTCTTTAGCCTTGTTATTAAGGATATAAGGCACTACCGAACAATCGCCCGACGTTAAGATTCCCGGGGTCCGCCGGTTTGGTTAATCGCTGCCCCGATGCATCGTCTACCGGATTTATTGTCCCCCGCAAACGGAAATTACGATACACCGGGACGATTTGTGGGTTTTTTTTTTTTATTATAAAAAAGGACCAATGTACGATCCATTGCCCATTCATTACTCTTCTCGACACTGAATGTTATCGTTTCAAAACGCGCGGCACCCTAAGCGAGGGCTTTTTTCTCCGGGTTTTAACTTAATTCCCTCGGCAGACTTTTCCGGGCCCCGAAATCTCTATCCCCACGGGGGATGGAAATTTAACAAGATTCCATTCGGGATTTTTCTTTCTTTTCCTTTTTCCTCCCCAGAATGGGAAACAATGGCCCGCAATAACGCCTCCGTGGTGTTATTACCCGCGTAACCTGCCGACTACTATTTTTTTTTTTTTGTCCGACATTCATATGCAAATTTCGCGACACAGAGGGCCAGACCTACCTCTCCGATTACCAGACGTGGGAATAAAGTGTCTTGGTCGATCGCGGGGCAATCGCGCGGAGCTTTTGGGACCGGTTACAAAAGTGAAGCTTTTCCGGTCCTCCGCCACCGAGTCGCGTGTTTCCGACACAAACCGCCCCCGCAGTGCGCCCCGGAAGTGTCACGCTGAGAATCGGCGAGCATTTAGCGGCTAAGAGTCGTGTTCCGCGTTATTCTCGGCCAAATGGCCTCGTTATCGACGCCTTTAAGGACCGACCCTGTCCCTTCTAGGGAAGATGGCCACTGTGGAAATTGACGTGAATTACCGACAATGGCGGTGACTCCGCGCGCCGACAATCCCGAAAGACTGGCTTACAAATGTCCGGCTTGTCCGCCGGACCCGAAGGGCCTGTTGGCCATTATTCGGCACCTCGGCTTCTCGAAAACGCCTGGAAAGGTCGCTTAGACGATGGTTAAATCTTTTTCCTCACGTGCCAATTGGAACGGCCATGGATCCTAGAAAATGAAGATTTCGGTCCTCGCGAAACGAATTTCTGCCCTCTAATTCTAAACGTAGTACTTCAAATAAAAAAAAAAATTGAAAGTTTCATAAGTTTCAGGGCCTTCCTTATACCCTCCACATTTATGTGTGCAAAGTTTGAATCGATACGGTGCGCCCAGTTTGGAGGGAAGTTTCACGAAGAAGAACTTTGATGCCACTTTCGCGTCACCTTAAGGGCAGCGACGAGTGCTCGAGCTCGAAGTTGGCAATTTCCGTAGTAAACTGTCCTAATGCGTTCTCCCCGTGAAAAGGTGTATTCGAAAAGGTGAATTTCACCGATGAGTGACTCGCGGTGATCCTAACCTCGAGACCGATGGGGCGCTTCTTAATGAAGGGGCCCTCGGAGGCGCGTTATTTTTTGTTCTTGCGGCGTCGACGGCGAGCCAGGAGGAACCCCTGAATGGGGGACCCTAGAAGGGGACCAGGGGGGCAGGGGCACCGGACTCGAAACGTCCAAGTAGCTCGTGCTACCTGGACAGCTGCTCGTGTGTGAGACGAGGGGCCCCCTTGCCAGGAGTTTTATTTCCTCCTACCTTATGGGGTGCCCCAGGTACCCCACGGAACGTCACGCTCGAGAGGGGGGCCATCTGCCCCCTAACGAGTGCGTGACGTCAGGTGTGACGATGCGTTAAGCCAAGGAGCGTCTGTCTTTCGAGCCACCCGTGCCAGGTTGCAGGGCTGCCAACCATTTCGATCGTTCTACCAATTTCGCCGCGAAATTATTCCCCGAACTCATCTCGAATCTATTTCTTTTTTTTTTTAATTCTATTTTCATAAAAATTGTACGGTGTCCCAAGACGTTCGAGGAAATCGTGTCTTTCTGCTCGACCCCATGCAAAATTAGGTGGAGTACGTCATTCTTTTTATTTTTTTTTTTTCTGTCGCTTCAAAGTCACCTCTTGCGCTAAAATGACGTCCACGCGCGTTCAATGTTATTTACCGTGAGGTTTACTGGAGGAGTGAAAAAATGACCGATGCGTCGATTTCTCGCCCTCGTTGGGCATTTCCATTTTTTGAGGGAAACCTCCGAGACGTTTCGGGCCCCGTGCCCGGAAGAACGGCAACGGCGTATTATCGAGCACGTGGTGTGCCTTATGGCCCGCTTACGCCCCTCGGGAACGAAACCCGCGTAGGTGGTAAATTACGGGGAGGGATAATCGTCCGCCCCGAAATTCCCGCGTCGCGTGCGGAGTCTTCGACGACTCTCCTCCTTTTATCGCTCGGTAGGCGTTTTTCGTTGTCGTTAGCAAGACCGTTGAAACGGACCTTTATCGCGACGTTCCGCGCTATCGGACAGGGGGGCGTCTTCTGGAGATATACGCACTTACGCGGCTGCGTGGCATGTGCGCGCACACGTGGACACTCGCCTCGATACAACGTCGAACCGTATCTATACGAAGAAGTCTCTGCGTCACCGTTTTCATGTCAGAGCAATTTATCTTCGACCTGGGTTCAGGAAATAATTTCAATCTTCAACGCGCTAGTTACGGAGGTCTTAACGAAGGTCTTGAACGTCAGGAAATTTCATTTTTCGAAAAAAAAAAAAATATATCTTGTTCGAGAAGAGGCCGGCGACATGTGTCGTTTCGTCGAGAGGAGAGCTCGAGGGGACGACGGGCCCGTCGGGCACCTCGCGTCCTCGCAAGGGCTCCGCCGCGCCGGAGGAGTCGTCGCGCACGTCACGGAACATCTGCCGCGCCCGCGCCCCCTTCGTGCCCCTCGCCGTGGCCCGGTGGCCCGACTCGTGCCCGACTCGAACCCCAAAGAGCAAGGGAGCCGGTCGTAAGGGAAGGGTCCTTTGAGACAAAGACAACGTATGACGTACCGGCAGCTGCGGCGGTGACGTAGGGCCCGGTCGCTCCCCTCGCCCCGTGGACTTTGGAGATCGGGAGGGAGAGAGCGACGACTTGGCTCGTGCCCTGGAGAAAAAAGGAACCAAGATTTATCGGCGCGAGCGCGTGTCCTTCGCGCGCATCCACGAGGGGGGCCGCAAATTGCCGGGGGTCGGAGAGCGAGGGGGGGTCTCGGATCGATGCAGGGAATCGGCGTCGTGAAAAGGAAATTTATAAAAGTGGTCGATATCTTT